TTCTCCATCCCATCTTGTTTGCATGGTTGGATAAAACACGCATATTAAGAATTTAGTTAATAAAAGTTATTTTGTTCTTTTTTTTAATTCTTAAATCGTTAAAATATTAATAAAAGTCACTCATTAATGAAAAATAATAAAGGTTATGATGGAAAAAATAATTATTTACACGTATAAATTTAAAAAACTTGTAAACATTTGGGGACATCTATAAAAGGAATAACAAGCAAACAAACTGAGAAGAAGGGAGTACAAGACAAATACACGAATTGAAATTCTCAACTCACAAAGAAAATCAAATAATTTAATTTACTATTGATTGAATTATAAATATTTGAAAATAAGAGATATATATTTAATGAAACATAAATAAAATAATAAATAAAATTTTCATTAATCGATTAAGTTATGCAAATCACATATCTCATTGAAATGATTTTATCCCAAAAATGAGATTGGATTTATTTGTAAAGTAGAAAAAGAAAACATAAGCTTAAACGAAATATTAGATAGTATATTTAAAATTAAATTTAATTAATCGGGGAATTAAAATAATATTCAAATTAGTTTTAATAATGTGTTGAAGCCATGAAGTGTATGTATAATACAATTCAAGTCCACTGAGCCCCTCATCAACAAAGAAAAAGAAAAATTATAAATTACTACTATATTTTGCAATGCTTGGTAAGCATTGATCAAAATAGGAATTCAAAATTTAAGGAATTGACACATGGCTTCAAAATTACAACATTGAATTTTCTACTTTTTCACAATTAGCTAACATTTGGCACTCTCTTATAAAGTGCAGCCTTCAATTCTGAATAGGTCAAAGAAAAAAAAAAAAAGAGAATATATACTCCTTTATAGATATCAAAATTAGGTATGTTTGTGATAACCCAAATAAACCTCTTTCTACTTTAATCTTTCTGATCATAGTTTTTATTTGAAGTTGCTTTCGTTGATAAGCAATAATTCTTATTTTTTATTTTTTTCTTCTCGCTCATAATCTTTTATTCATTCTTAATAAAGTTAAATCTATTTTTTTAATAGATCTATTTTTTCTTTGTTTTTTTTGTTATTGTTGCTTTGTCTCCGATAGGTCTTATTTTTATAGCATTTTTAATATATTTTTTATTAAAAATTTTAGTGTTTTTAATTAATTTAATTAGTTTTTGTTTAGATTTATTTATATTTTTAATTAATTTTTCTTGATTCTTGATAAGCTTGATTTGAATGGTTTTTAGCAGAAAAATAGCCAAAAGAAGGTTGGAGCTGAAATATGGAGATAAAAGCTCAACATGGCCAAGTCAGTAAAGAACACGGCCATGGTTGTGTCTCCAAGAAAGTAGAAAATGCGAGTGGGCCGAATTTGATTATTTAGCCCGTGTAGATTTGAAGCTTGGGCGTATCTTGTGAATGGAACTGTATGAAAATAATATAAGACTTACCGTGTTTGAGTTTCAATCCTATTTGATAAAAAAAGACTCCTAATTAGGAAAAAATACAACATAAAATTAATTTCCTACTCAAATATTATTTATTCCTAATTAGACTAGCTAGTTTCCTACTCAGATTCAAAGATACTCTACGAAGTCTATATAAAGAGAAATATCTACATTAAAAGATAGATACATTACATTCATTATTCCATATTTTTTTCTCTACATCATTTCTCTTTACAAGACTTCAAGCAATCAAGTTGGAGATCAAGATTAATGGAAGCGCTACAAGCCAATTGCGACTAGTTTTTATTTCTAAACTCTCTTCTTATTTTATTTTTAATATTCATGTTGATTATGAGAATATTTATAAGTTTATTTGGATTTAATTTATTTACTATGTTGAACTAAATCATATACTAGGAATTTGATGTAGCTTAATTTCGATTCCAATTTATAATATTAGATTTGTTTTTCCTTATTTATAATATAATTCATTATTAAACTTAATGCTTCCAGACAGAGTTTCTCCCCTAGATTGATTTATTTCATTAATCACTATCCAAGAAGGGTTTTTGATATGAAAAAAGGTAATAAATTACATGGGAATAATAACTTGATGTGGAAGCTATATGGTTTGACTCATGAGGGTTTTCATAAATAATAACTTGATGTGGAAGCTATATGGCTTTGACTCATGAGGTTTTCATACGTTACAACTTAGGTTATGAATTCATAAAGAAACCATAAAAACTTAATGATGTTTAATTTCATGATTTAATTGTGCATATTGGAAGATAGTAATTAGACCGGATTTAAAATAAGAGTAACAATATATCGTGAAATTATAGTGATTTTAGAGTTGTTTCCTCTACTTTAAACAATTAAAATTTATCAAACTAGTACAAATAAATTGGATAGAATTAAGTGAAGTAAATCCTAGTAGCTCTTAACTTGATTTTATTTTCAATGAATTACTTGGCTGAGTTCTTTTTCATCCTTTATTTATTTCTTTTATTTTAAGAATTTATTCTCCTTATTGTTGTTTAATATATTTTATTTCTTTTATTTTTAGAATTATTCTCCTTATTGTTGTTTAAATAATAGTAGGTTAATATAATTTTGGTACTTGATATACAATCCTCGTGAAAACAAGACTCTTCATTCTTTATTACTTGTTGCGATTTTGTACACTTGCAAAAAAGCCTGTCAGTCTCCATATTTGGAGTTCTTTTGTCCCTTTTTCCCTGAGGGTTTAGTTTCTTTTTTGTGGAGGTTTGTTACTAAAGAGTATGATATTTGATTTTATTTTAGTTGGAGAATTTAAATCTTGGTTTACTAATGTGTGTCTTCAATTAATGGGGCCTAGCAGTGCTACATGTTCCTCCATTGATGCTATTAATATATAGTGGCATGAACTCATCCATATACGCCATGTGCAATAAGTTCTTAGAAAAACAATCCAAGCGTAGAAGATGTGGAGAAGTTATTTTGTGGTCCAAATCAATTAAAGGATCTATTGCTAGTATGAAGATTTATATCTGTCAAGGTTATTTTCAAACAGAAAAATCTAATATTGTTTCTTTTAGTTTTAGTTTTATTATTCAAAAGAATATAGTTAATTGTTTTGATTTTTTAGAGGATATTGTTTCTGATGTAATTGAGTATTTGTAACACTTGATTTTATTATTAATGAATTATATTTTTCAAAAAAAAAAAATCGGTTTATTTCTGTGAAATAACTTCCAGAAAAATATTTTTCACAATCTTTCATTATTTAAGGCGTTCAAAAAAATAAGTTATAGGAAAATATTTTCCTTGTCAAAGAAAAAGTAAGTCATTTTTAAGGAAAATGACTTTCTATTTTTAAGAGAGGAAAACATTTTTGAAATAAAACATTTTTTAGAATTAACAAACTTATTATAACCTTACAAATGCATATTCTTTTAATTTATTAATCATCGGTAGCTACTACTACAGACATCATCTACCAATAGCCATCATCTCCGACCATTGACTATTCAACGACAACTTTCGTAATTTACATTTTCTTTTCATTTTTCTCATATTTAATAATAAAATTTTTAAAATACAAAATTTTTCATTATTATAAATATTTTTATAGTCTTATGAATTAAAGATTTTAATATTTTTCACTAATTTTTAATATTGCAACCAAACAACTGAAAATAAGTCACTTGAAAAATATTTTCTAAGTAAAATTTTTCTCAATAAATATTTTTTAAGGTAAGTTATTTTTCGAAAACAAATGGAGCTTAGAATTTCAAAAATTTGACCTGCATAAAGCAACTCATATTAATGACTAGTTCCATGGATTTAAATTTTGAAAGTGTTGTGAAAAATTGTTATCTATCTCTTTCAAGAAAAAAGAAAAAAGTTTTTTTAATCAAATGAAATCTTAGTTATTAATTCTGTAATAAATATAATGAATTAGATTTGTCTATATCGAGTCGATAGCTCCACTCATCTACCGAACCAATGAAAATATTAAATTTTTTAATTTGTTTTTACTTTATTTTTTTTCTTCAGTGTATAATCAACAATACTCTCGTGTCAATATAAAAAAATTATTTTTCATTAGTTTGGTTCATGAGTGAGCTCATAGATCGGGTTTAGGTAAATAAGTTATTTTATTATATTAATTGAGATTTTATTATTATATTATTATATTATTAACTAGTACGTTGCATGGAAACTAATAATAAAAGTTCAAAGTATGATTAATATATGTATCCTTTTTTTCTGGCCTTGAGTGTAAGTTTTATGACGTGATATGTCGATAGTATTAAAATTTTTAATTTTTTATGAAAAATCATTAATTTTCAAATCCAACTTTTAAATGGTGAATTAAGCTCTAAGTACATTATGAATTTTCCATATATGTTTTTCACTTTACTGCAATATCTCAAAAAAAAAAAAAAATTTTGCGAGTTTTTTGCTACCAATTAAGCTTACATACTTTTAAGATGAGTTTTATAAATATTAAGATGAATGATTCTATACTCTTCTTGCTTAAACGAAATAAATGATTTGATTATTATAAATATAATAAATACTCCGCTGAGAGTGCCTACTCCTTACTAAGTAGATAAATAACAAGAGTAACCTCGTGGGATTTCATACAAAATCTTTAACTCTATTGCAAATGATGTTGAAGGACACTAACCTCTAAACCATTGTGCTAGGTGGAAATGGCGCTAGAATGCTTCAATACGTAGTTGTGCATGCTCATTTTATGCTTAGTTTTATGTCTACGATTCTTTTGTGCTTGGCCTTGTTGTTGTTTAATTAAAGGAATTGAAAAGAAATATTCTCTATTATTTGCTAAAGAAAAAAAAAAAAAAAAAAAAAAAGAAAGGAAGGTGAAAGATAAAAAGTAGATGTATATATCAGAAATGTTGACATTGCGAATTTTCATATCTTGCCTTACAAGCATATCTATATAGTTAATATACAAAGCAGTCCCAATTGGGATAAAAAATAAATTAAAAACCCACTTCCATCAAAAAAAAAAAAAAAAAAAAAAAGAAGAAGGTGAAAGATAAAAAGTAGATGTATATATCAAAATTTGACATTGGAATTTTCATATCTTGCCTTACAGCATTATCTATATAGTTAAATACAAAGCAGTCCCAATTGGGATAAAATAATTAAAACCCACTTCCATCATCCACTAATCTTTTGCTGATCTCCCAATTTCTAAATCATCACAAACACAACATAAAATGTATGCAGTGCCAAGTCCTGCGGTTTCAATCCACGACTTGAACTTGTCTCTTGCTTACCGCGCAAAAAAGAAAGAAAGAAAGAAAGAAAGAAAAATTTTTCTTAATCTAAAATTCTGGCTTCGCCTCTGAATCTATTTCTTAGTCCATATGAGAGTCTTATATACACTTGAGTTTTATTTTTTATAACATTATTATTTTGACAATTTTCTCCTTTAATCTCTCTCTTGTTCTTGTCTTTGATTTTTTGAGGAAAACAGAAAGGCATTCCATTGATTTGATTGACTTGTGTCAGTGTAATTTCTGCGACAATTTGATGGGCAAACCATTCTGGGGAAGGGCAAAAGGGCCATACTGAATCCCATTATCTGAACCCACCATAGACCATCTGCATAGAGTAACAAAATTGCCCACGTCAGCAGATATTCTGTTGCTTTTCTATATTTAGAAACTCAAACCTTCAGTTTACCCACAACACAAAAGGAAACTGTTAATGAAAATTTTGTTAAAAAAAATTTAGATACCTGTACATAGTGGTCAAATGATGCAGAAGAACTAAAATCTCCAGCTTGGCTAACTCATTCCCAGGACATGAGTGTGTTCCATTGCCAAATGGCACGAATGTATTGGGTTTTGGTGCTACCTGTAAATCATTACAATCAGATGATCAATACTTCATATTATGGGCATTGAACTTGAAAGATGACAAAAAAAAAAAAAAGTTTACCTCAAATCTTGAAGGATCAAACTTTTCAGGATCTGGAAAGATTTCTGGGCTGTGGTGAATGTTTCTGAAAAGTGGCAAGACTTTCCATCCTTTAGGGATAAGGTATCCTGAAAAGAAAAAAATCAACAAAATTTAGTACTTTTTAATAATTTCACATTTAAGAGATACTAAGACAGTCGAAACATTCGATATTTAAGTCCCGAACAGAGTAACTTCACAGTCATGTGTATCTACCCTCCTATTAACAGTCTATTTAATCATTTGAAAGTAAATGGATATGTACAATAGTACAAGTTGACACATTTGAAAACAACTCACTGACCTTCATACTCAACATCCTCAACAGCCTCTCTAAAGGTAAAAGACAAAATTGAAGCAACTCTGAGTGTTTCTTGGATAACCCTTGAAGTTATTGGCATCTTCTTGGTATCTGCCCAAGTGAGAAAGATGTTCTCATCACCTTCCTCTTTACTTTTTACTATCTCTTCTTGCTCTTTCTGTTAAGGAAAAGGTAGCACACAAAACAAGGTCATTAAAAAGATTACTAAAATCATTGTAATTTGCAGATATTATATTCAAATACTGCTATTACTTACAGTGACAGCTTCAAGAACACTTGGGTTTTCTTCAAGGTACTTGAGAATCCATGTTAGAACACTAGCTGTAGTATCACGAGCTGCAAATATAACTCCAATAATGTTATCTGCAATTTGCTCGTCAGTCAAGCCTTCTTTGTCACCCATGAAAGATCCAAGCAAGTCAGTTCTATCTAACTTCATTTGCCTTCTAGTGGACAGAGTTTTTGCCAAGATCTGTGCTAGCTCTTTTCTTGCTTTCATTGCTTTGTGGAATAGTGTTCCAGGAAGGTTAATGGGCATTGAGTTGTATCCTTCCTCAAGAATGTAGTAACATCTCTTTAGATCTTCTCTGTATTGAAATTCATCTTTTCCGAATATTGAAAGTAGTGCAACGTCGAATGTATACTGCAAAAAACAATAATTTGTATCAGAAGTTGCATTTTTAATTTTAGAAAACAGAGGAGCTCTGTTTTTCCCCTGCTTTGTTCTGTTTTATATATTAGCAAGAATGCAAGAAATGGAAGCCGTACTGTTTTCATTTCTTGGAAAGTGTTTACGATTCTTCCTTCCCATGATTTTAAGGCGTCTTTGGCAATTGTTTCGATGTCAGAGACGATGTATTTGATTGATTCAGGGACGAAAGCACGAAGAACAAGTTTTCTCAATTTGGTATGGTATTCTCCTTGATGAAAGAAAATGGCTTGTTTGCCTAACATTCTTTCTTTACTTGCTGGAAATGTCGGCTTAAAAAGATGAGCTCTTGTTACAAGAACAAATTTTGCAGCTTCTGGACTTGAAATCATAACACAAGGACAACCTAGGATGTGGGTCTTGAAAACAGAACCGTACCTATAAATATCAAGAAACAGAACAAAAGTCTCCATTAGGCCATTAGTTTCTTAAGCAAAATAGTACAATGAGATTAAGCTTAATGGTATTGGAGTCGTATACAGAATTATGAGTTCTCCAATTCGAATCCTCTGCCAAGTATAATTAACCAAAAGAAGAAAAGAAGGTAGTAAAAGCAAAACAGGAAAATGAAACGATATTGACCTTTTCTGCTTTGAGGCAAAGAAGACATTTGGGTTTTGAGAGTAGAGTTGGAAAGTTTCACCAATATAAGGCCAACCCAAAGTTCCAGGAGGAAGAGGCAATTTCTGTTGAGTACGTGTGGGAGAAAAGAATTTGAGAAGAGAATGGAAAAGAAATATCAAGAAAGTGGAAAGAAAAAGTAGAAAGAAAATGGAATTGAAATCCATGTTCTGTATTCTTTGCTATTTGCGTAAAGAGAAGAGAGAGTTATAGTATTAGAAGAGCAGGTGGAGTTAGCTGAGTAGTAGTAGCAAAGAAGCTGTGTGTAGAAAAGAGGTGAAGGAAGAGAGTTATTTATAGGCTCTTATTTAGTAAAACAAACCCACAGAAATAAAGATGGGAATAAGAACCATATAGTTAAACTAAAACCAAAAGAGAGAGAGAGAGAGAGAGAGAGAGATGGACCTTTCCAATACAGCTTGAATCCCACACACGGAAAATCCCCTCCAGCTCATACCTGGTTTTCGTTCGGTCATTTTTACTCTTTTGGTCATCAAGAAATGGGTTACCTATACCTGACCGGATGTATATGCCCTTATTTTATAAATAACACCGTGGGTTATTTTAGTAATAATCTTTTTTTTCCTTCCAATAGATGAAAAAAACATGTATAATACTTTTCTTATTTTTGCGATGCAGTTTGAAAGTTTGTTTTGCTTATCCAATAAAATTAAATTTATAATTCACTCGCTATTTCAACTAACACATTATTAGTAATTATATTTTTTTGTTAAAATACTTCATTCGTCTAATATATAGACTTAATTTGATTTTCATAAAATAAAGTGAGTCCGTGAATATAAGGCGTAACCAAAGTCAATCAATCAATAGAAGATGCGTATGGTAAGTGAATGCATGAGAAATGAATATACATAAGGGCAAGGCTAAATATTTTGGAGGTAAGAGAAAGAAAGTTCGCACGTGTAAAGGAGGAGGAAAAAAGGAGTTTGAGATTTTGACCAAAGGGCTATGGATTTGGAGACAATAAGACTGACTGGCATTAAGTGCTCTCTGACTATGAAGGGAGATGGAATTATAATTATATTTAATTAGCAAATTGGCATAAAAAAAAAAAAAGAAGACTGCCTCTTAAGCATGGCAAAAGGGGAATTAAATGCCTTTTAATGGACTTTAACTTTTAATAATAAATAAATAAATAAATGAAAGTTTTATCGCTTGTCTCTCTGTATGTATCCGTACTCAGTTTCTCTTTCTAATTTACTTTATTATAATGGTGGCATCTACACATATACACATGGTACAATCAATCATCAATCATCAATCCATATGCTCTTACCTTTTTGTCCTAACAACTTGTACGTACAATCAATCATCATTGTCGATCCATTTGCTCTTACACTTGCCTTTTTTTTTTTTTATTATTATTAATTTTTATTAATCTCCACGCGTATTACTATTTGAAAATATTAATTGCAGAGTTCAATTTATTTTTATAATTTAAAATATTAATTGCATCCGATAACTGAAATAGAAAGAATTACAATAACATATAAAGTTTATAGTATTTTTATATTTTAAATAATTAATCAATTTATAAATTTTTTCTAATATCTTATTAGAAATTAATCTATGTTACCATAATTATTTTTTAAATTTTAGATTATAAATTTTTAGAAAATAAATGATAACTTATTGTACTTTTTAGTTCATAACTAATTTAGATATATAAAAAAATCCAATATTTTACTTGACAAGGTTTGACCACCCCCAACAATTTTGTTTAAGAAAAACCCATAAAATATTGAAATTTTTTATTTTTACCTCTTAAAATAGTAAAATTTTCAATTCGCCCTTAAACTTTTAAAATATTTTTTATCCTCTAACTCTAATTTCTGGTTCTTTTTTACCAGCTATCTCTGAACTATATTTTTATTTATATTTGATTATTCCTTGATTTTGCAATAAATTAATTACATCAAAGTACCCTTTGCCCAATAAAATATAAACTAAATTTCAGTTTGAATTAATTATTTTCTTAATTTTTCTACAAATTAATTACATAAAAATACTAATATTCTGCTAATCAAGAATTTAATTGTCGTGTGTAAACTAAATTTCAGTTATATTTATTGGTTTGAAAATACTTAAATTTTCATAATATATTTATAATTGTGATGTTGAAACATTTCCATAGTCATTTTTTTTTAGTTGAAGTAAATTATTATATAAAACAATAGAAATCTTTAAATAAACAAAAAAAAAGCTATAGAAATATATAATTTAAGAATTTTAATTTTTACGATTAAAAAGTTCTACTTTGGAAAAGATATATTTAATAAATATATGATATTTTGGATTTCATACATATGATTTATCCGATTGAGCAAGTGACGTAATAGGATTTCATACACATGCATGCTAACACATACATACACATACATACATGCACATCATTATTATTATTGGTACTTAGCCAGATATTTTAGTGGGTTTGCTTCTAATATTAGTTCTTTATATATATACATAGTACAAGAGAGAATTAAAGCTCAAAACAAAACTACACTAATAAAGACAAAAATAAGATACCTCACAATTATTATATGACAATCAAAAAATTAAGCTTGATGAAAGATAAGAGTTGGAGCAAATAAATCAGCTCGGTTCAAAATTGATTCGAACCGACATAAAAAAAGTGAACTGAACTTCTTTAAATTAAAATTGAATTGAATCAAAATCGATGTCAATATTGGATCAGTTTTAAACTTAATGAATTAGTTTTTTAACCTTAACTTATTTTTCCTCATAAGCAAATTGGCCAAACCGAGCTGAACCGAACCAAATTGATTCAGTTTTTGATTGGGTTCGGTCAGCAGTTTAGCTCACGCTTAATGAAAGCTATTCAAAATTTGAGTACCTAAAAAGCATCCAGCTAATATCAGTTAGAGCTGTTATGAGTCATATTTTTTGGTGAGTCATAGAAAATATATTTTTATATCACAAATCTCAATTCTAGTGAGATGATGGTTTTGGTTGGAACAAGAAAATGAATAAAAAAATAACATGGGAAGGTTGACTTACACTAACAATAATAATAATATATCAATAATTATAATTTAAAAATCAAAAGATTTATTTATTTTCATGAATTTAAAAAAGGTTTGACAAGTTTGCATTTGGGGAATTGTTTTAACTTAGACAAATTTAAGGGATTTGGTTAATGATTCAACCCTTTTTTTCAAATCCTTAGATAGATCAGAATTCATTAAATGATGTTAGAGAGTCAGAAGATTACTTATGCCCAATCAAAATTAGGACATCTGGCTTGTGTGCGGTTTGGAGAGAAGAGATGAGATGAGACCTTATATTAAATGTAATGTCCAATTTATGTAATATGAGATCCATACTCAACTTAGAGTGTGGTCAAAATAGTTGAATATAAAAAATTAATTTTAATTTCAAATATTACTAATTAGATATCTTCCATGCTGGCATGCAAATTGTAGCATGGGTTTCATTTTCATTTTTATTTTATTTCTTTGTAATTCTCAAGAAAAAAAATGAAAATTTTAAGAAAAATATATATTTCCTCCGTCCTATTTTGTTTGCATGGTTTGATAAAACAAGCTTATTAAGAATTTAGTCAATAAAAGTTATTTTTCTCTTTTTTATCCTTAATTCATTAAGATATTAATAAAAGTCTTTCATTTAATGAAGGATCATAAATATTATTATGGAAAAAAATAATTGTTTATATGTATAAATTTATTTAATTTACTTTATTTTTACTTCGATAATTAAAAATTACATTATGCCCACTTCTAATTACAAAAATTCTGAAATTAAGAAAATTATGAATTATGGCACAATTAAAAAAATTTGTATTTCAAATTTAATTGCATTTATAGAAAAGAAAGTTTGGCCTTCTAATTTATTATTATTGAATATTTTATAAAATATTCTTGGAAATAGTAGTTGCTGGTTGCACTTCTGGATTGGAGTAGCAATTTCTTGGCCAAATTCAAAGTCCTGGTATCACAAACTTACAAATTTTCCTTTTGAAAAAGTATACATTGATGATCTTGCTTAGGACAAGAAAATATTTTGTGATGGAATTGTCAACTAATAAGAAATAAATGGCCAAATCATAGAACATTATTAGACTTGATTTTGCTTAACCATTACTAAAATGATTTAAACTAGCCATTTGAAGGTTGACCCTTAACTTTTTTTATGTGCCTTTTTTATTCTTAACTCTCAAGCAATGTGAAATTTTCTTACATGATGACTAGGTGATTTAGTTGTAAAATTATTATTGTTGTTAATTTTTTCTTTTTGGTATTAACCATAGTTATTCCTAACCTACTGAGTCATGACCAAATTCTGCATGCGCTAGTTCGACGACTTCATAATTTTTGTTTTTTTTACTCTTTCGAGGCTGAATGGATTGAATTATATAACAGGATAGCTCTTCCCTTAAAATCCCATCAAATTTGTGAAAATTCTTGTAATCAAAAGGATTCAAATTCATTATAATGAAAAAAAAAATCCTAAGGGGTTGATCGGCAAAATTAGTTGTTTTGATAGCTGTTAGCTGTTTTAGTAGCTTTTTATGAAACATTAAAAGCTAAACGTTACATGACTTAACTTTTCATAAAATGCTACCAAAACGTCTAAAAGCTAGTCCAAATGTTATGTTGCTGAACAACTTTTTAATTAGCATTTAATGTTTTGATTAAAAGTTACTAAAACGCTTTAAGTTAATAATACGATGAGTTAAATTATTGTTTCCTTTTTTGGGCTTATCGAAAGACTCAATATGCTAAAATAACATTACGAGTTATACAATAGGGGTAACGCTTCCTTTAAATCACTAAATTATTAAAAACTCTTTTGCTCGAGAGGATTCAAACTTATTATAATAAATATAATATTATTACTGTTTTGATTACTATTATTTCAATACTCATTAAAATATTGAAACTAAATCCTTTTGTTGGGCAATTTTAAGAATAAATTCTTTTGTAATGGTTTAAAGAATATTATTTATAAAGTTGTGTTTAACAAAATCAAATCTTGATTGATGAGAAAACAGTAGAGTGGAATAACTCTGTCAAGCAGTTAGAAAATTAGTAATACATGCATGCATAAATATGCAATTTGGTGAATAAAGACAAAGTATTTTAAAAATTTAAAACAAAATGGGAAATGTCTGCTTCTCCAATCATTTTATATATAGTGGGTGAAAAAAGACAAATAAAAATAGTTATTACCATATGGTAAAATGATATTCATAGATACGGTATAGTGGAGTCCAGTTTAGAATCAATTATTGAATAAAATTCTAAATATAAATATAAATATAAAATAAATGTTCCAAATTGCTATGGGCAGCGTCATGCT